CAAAGCTACTGTGATAAAAACAGCCTGGTACTGGCAAAAGAACAGACCTGAGGAGTAGTGGAATAAATTAGAAGATGTAAAAACAACTCCAGACATACTCAGCCACCTCATCTTTGACAAAGGACCCAACAACCATCACTGGAGGAAAGATAGCCTATTTGATAAATGGTGTTGGAAAAACTGGATTTCAACCTGCCAGAGCTGAAGACTAGACCCACACCTATCACCATGCACTAAACTAAGATCGAATTGGATTAAAGATCTAAATTTAAAAGAGAAACACTAAACTTGCTGGAAGATAAGTTAGGTAGAACTCTTGAAGATATTGGCATAGGAAAAGACTTTATGAACAAAAACTGAGTACCTTGGTAACTTGCACAAAGAATCAACGACTGGGATCTCATCTTATTAAAAAGCTTCTGCACTGCAAAAGAAACCACCAATAGAGCTAATAGACAACCTACACTGTGGGAAAAAGTTTTAGCAGCTGTACCTCACACAAAGGACTACTATCTAGAATATATAAAGAATGAAAAAAACAGACCCCCCAAATTCAAAGACCCAGTTCAAAAATGGACATCTGCAATGAACAGACATTTCTCAGACAAAGAAGTAAGAGCAGCAAATAAAAATATGAAAAAATGCTCAACATCACTGGTCATTCGAGAGATGCAGATGAAAGCAACACTGAGATTCTACCTCACCCCCAGAAAGAATGACTGCTACCAAGAAATCAACCAGTAACAAGTGCTGGCAGGGGAGTGGAGAGAAAGGAACCCTTCGCCATTGCTGGTGGGAGTGCAGACTGGTGCGACCACTGTGGAAATCAGTATAGAGATACTGTGAACACACTGGTATGATGATTAGGACAGAGCATATAATTTCATAAGAGCAGATTTTAATAAACTGGGGAGAAGGGATACAGAGTGAAGACTACACCTGCCCTCCCTTCCTAAGGTCTTATAATGGATGGATCAGTCACAGAGCATCTATCACTACCATGTAACCTCAGAAAAGGCCCTTCTCAGTGATTTCATATTCTCTATTATTCAGTGATTCTATAACTCCACTTTGCAAATTTGCTCAGGGCCAGTTCCACTTGCATTCCTATTAATGGCGAGCACAAAAAAGTCTTTAGCTAATCCAGGTAGTGTGTTTCTATTTATATTTATTTTGTTAAGATTAATCATTTCTTAATTTAAGATCTTATGCATTGATTATAGACATCCTGATCTGATAAAAGAGCTTAAATGTACTTTTGAAAAATAAAACATATTTTCAATTACAGTCATTCATGTTCCCAAATCATGCAAAACTTTTATTTAAATAAATTATTAGCCTTAGCAAGAACATCATAATTTATGAATGTGCTAAGTTTGAATGTGGTAATTGTTGTTCCTTATGTTGATCTTTACAAATGACATGTTGCTATATTTTCATGATATTGGGCTAGGAGTTATCCAAACCAAGTGAAACTGATGGAGTTCTGGCTCCCTGGAAGCTTATTTTGTAAGGTAGGCACTTGCTCAGCTGCTTTTGAACATATATTTGACACTTCTTTCAGCATTTTCCTTTAATGAATTTCTGAGAAGGATCCTGCAACTTGCATTAGTGTTATTTGACTTCTTGCGGCAGAGATAGTGCTGAGTGTTATATCCCACATCACACCAAGACATTTTTTCAACACCCCATAGTATTTTAAGAATCACCTCTTGCTACATTCCATTAAATTTCCTTTGCCATTGTTGAATATTTCTCTAACATGCAAGTAGTTAGAAACTACTTCCTTCAAACCAAAAACCTACCTTCAATTGTTCAATTTATTACAATCATTAGGGAACTGTGGTCATTTCCATGCTGGACACATTGTTAAGGCATAAGTGCCACATATAGAGAAGTCACAAAAAATTTGATGTAAGGTATAGTAATTAACAGGGAAAGGAGCAATTTTAAAGAATAATTAGGCAGAATTTTTTAAAATTTTAAACAATAAGTCACTCTTTTGGGACAAATAGGAAATAGAAGATAGAAAATGCCAGGTTGGATTCAATCTGGTAATTGGTTATTTGTGAAAATCAGCAACCCTCCCCCTTTAGAGAAATAAAGATTCTTAGTTTCTTAGTGTATTAAAGGCTGGAATATCCTTATAAATCTTTGCTATCATCACACCCTACTCGTGGTATGTGCTCCACAAGAGTTAGACGATACTAAGAGGTGCCAATTATAACAATGAATTCTACCATTTATCACAGCTTATTCATTTGTGAGGACTCTTTTTTATGTGTTTCCCCACAAATATTTCATATTTTCTGAGTTTCTGTTCAATATAAAGTCTGATATGCCATGTGGGTAGAATTAAAGTAAAATATAACCTTTAAAATGTGATACTACCTTAAATGTCAGTAGTTCTCAATGCAGGGGTGATTTTGCCTCCTAGGGGACATTAGACCATGTCTAGAAACATTTTTCTTTGTCATAGCTAAGGGGCAGGTTGCTTCTTTCAGCTAGTGGATAGAGGGTATGTTGCTAAACATCTTACAATGTACAACATAGACCTCCTAACAAGAAATCATGGCCCAAAATATCATTAATGTCCAGGTTGAGAAGCCTTGCTTAATGTTAGTATAGAAACCCCACTCTCTGGGTTCCTCATATCAGTCTCTTCATCAGTGATTCTACACTAAATTCTGATGGACATATACCATCTACCGCTATGGTCAAGGCTGTAAGAAGAATGTACCTGAATTTCTAAGTCTCTGTTGTATATTGACAGTCAACCTGTCGTGGTGTTTGAATAGGCCAGGCCTTGTGAGTAAATCTAGCCTAGCAGATAGGTAGATCTGGGCTTATATTATTCAGATAGATGCTTCCATTTTTTACTCTGAGCCACTTTTGCAGATGTGGCCTCTGGCTGCAAACTACTCTTAGATATTTTAGACAGACGAAGTATCTCCTCAGCCAACAAGTGGAAAACTGAAATATTTTCCATTTACAGAGAAGATGAGCTGCCCAACCCCAAGTCTAATAAGCAAGCCAGATAAAACTTGGGCCCCTGCCTAAGTTCATTCTTAATTGAATTAGGATATCCTTTAGTAGGTTTGAGCTGGAATTTGCATAGTAATGCCTGACATTTGAACAGTGCTTTTAACTTTTGTATACCATTTATTTGAAGAGATTAGAGAATATGGCAGGAACATAATAGGGTAGATGCAGATTGAGAAATTTTGGTCTAATCTATAATCCACTAAAAAAGCACCAAAATTCAGAAACACGTATAACTTATATATGTTTGAGGAAATTGCACTGTATATATGTCCTTTGAAGGAAACAAGTCACAAGAATAGGATTTTCTTTCTGCCTGAGCACTGTTCTTGAGTGTATCCTGGACTCAGCATGGAAGCCTCAGCTGGACAGCATATTGACCAGAAAAAAGGAGACACCTACTCCCAAAGTGTTGTTCACAGCCACTGGATTCTACATGTTTCTTATGCCAAAAGAAGGACTGGCTGAATCACAATATAGATCTCTCTTCTTTGGAAAGTTGTACATTAGAATTTTCTGGATCACAGTAAAACTGCTTTTGAATAGAAGAAAAGTAGATAGGTCCTGGAGTCAAGTCATTTATGTTCAGCTACCCCCTTGACCAGTCTTTAGAAACAGTTCTTGAAGCACTTAAAGGATATAAAGGAGAAAGCTTTACCATCACTCCAGCAACCCCTCCACACACACATAAACACTTAATCCTTCAAGCAACACTTTTTTTCCCTCCAATGCTTTGCTCCCATGCAAAAACTTAATACTCTCCGGAATATTGGGCCATCTCAAGGCTAAGGGACCTAAGGACAACAGGAAAACTTGTCTTGCTGGGTGTTCCCAGGGACTTTGCCAGTGGAGCCTAGGAGGAGAGGGGCTAGGACTCCTGATAAACAGCTAAGCCAGCTTCAGAGAAACAACAGTGGCTACACTATGCCATTTATGCAGAGGAGAAGGAATTGGATTTTTCTAGAGCTGGATTCAGGCTCTAGCAGTGCGCTCTAGGCTGTAAGGCAACAGGGGGAAGTAAAGCTGAGCTTTCTTAGAGCTCAGGATTGTTCTGAGAATGGAGAGGGGGAAAAAGGCTTTCGGTACCAGCTCTGCATCCAGAAAGGCAGAATTTGCACTCCCTTTTCCAGAGAGAGCTAGTAAGGGAGATAAGAAACAAAGCCCAGATGTGGGGCTGTGTGGCTGGGAAAGGAGATGCAGCTACCTAGGGCCCCTACAAGCCTCCCGGTTGCAGGTAGAAATGCAGCAGGTTCCAGGAGTGTCCCAGAGGGTAGGCATTCTAAAAGCGCCCGGTGGGGGGTGGGGGGTGGGGCTCCGGTAAAGCAAAGGTGCAAAGATCTAAGAATCACCTAAGTGTCCCGTGACACTACTCTCCCACCCTCCACCTCCACCTCTCCAGACACCACTGCCAACACTAAGTAACTCAGCCTCTCATCCTATATTACTATCCCTCCCTGCTTCAATCTAGGCTGGGTCTTGGGAGACAGAGCCTATGGGCGAGAGGGACACCCATGGAAGAATTAGGTTGTGCTCCAGGACTGCCTGCATTCGGCTGAGCAAGACACAGAGGGAATAGAAGCCGGCCGGAGAAGACCCCAGGTCACTTCCTGAAGGCTCAGGACCCCACTGTCCCGCCAGCCACCCACTCATACTCTAGCCTCCACAGCTACCCTTCCCAGAGTATGATCCATGGCAGCTGGCGCAGCAGCTCAGCCACCGTCAGCAAAGAGAAGAGCCCAGGTTGAGATGTGAGCAGAGGTCACTGCCCAAAGCAGGGGGCATCCAGGCCGAGGGTTAAGGAGAGATTCTACAAGCCAGGAGCCCCAGGCGCTCCGATCCCCTTTACCGAACCGCGCTCAGGCTGGAACCCTCCCTCTCTCCCGTCCCTCCCGTCTCTGTCTTTAACAAGGGGAGGGGGAGCCTGGGGAAGCAAACGAATGAAACAGAAAATTCCGTACCGAGGGGGGAGAGATGAGACGGTGGGACAGGGCAGCGGGGGTCTGACTTGGGGCTGCGGCTGCAGCTTCCTTCCACCCCTGGCCGCGGAGCTGCAGAGAAGGCAGGAGCTGCTGCCCCTGCGGGCTGCCCCATCCTCCCTCTGTCTCTCCTCCTCCCCCGCCCCGCCCGCCCCAGCCCGGAGCAAGCCCGGGAGCGGGGGGGGGGGGGGGGGGG